TTGGCTTAACAAAAACAAAAGTAAATTTAAGAATGGAAAAATATATTAAAGAAGAAATTGTCAAGGTTAATTTACACCTCAACAGGTAATAATTAAATAAGAAAAAAAAAACTTATGTTTGTGTAGTTACCTTCAAATTCATCACCATTAGTTTTTTTTCTTTTATATTTTTGAAAGGATCCGCATATTAATTTAATTAAATACTACTGACTTATTTTAATATTTTAACCAATGTAATACCAATCATATTTTTTTACCACCAAAATAATATATTGCACCAAAACTCATTATTGTGTCCAATTTGAAAATACAAGGGAAAAAATTAATGTCATGAATGGTTCTTAAATTATAGTAAAATATTTTAATATGGTATTTGAATTTTTAAAATTTTTAATTTAGTACTTAAATTATGAATTTGTAACTAATGTGTTACTCACCTAATGTGGTTAGTTTAAATGATAATATGTGTCGAATAAATAACTTTTTAAGTACCATATTAGTTAACATATTTATAGTTCATGGTACAATATTAAATATTTTTTATTTATTATAGTTCAAAGTGATGACTTGAAGAGTGAAAAATCAATATTATTTCTATGATTGTAAAATACATATATACAAATGTATAAATGGATTTAAAGCTCATGAGATATATCCAAAAATAAAGCGCAATCTTATAAGTCAATTAAACATAATACATTTCAACAACCCCCTCAAACTGAAAATGGTTCGAATGAAACATTTGAAGTTTGGAAACTAAATAACAAAAATGTGAACTTAAAAGAGACTTTGTAAAAAGATCTGCCACTTGTGATTCAAAAGAAATATTCTATAGCATTATGGTGCCTTTACATATCTTCTGTTTGATAAAATGATAATCTATTTCAATATGTTTCATCTGTTCATGAAAAATATCATTGTGAGCAATCTGAATTGAACTCTTACTATCACAAAAGAATGGAATAAGTGTAGGTGTGTCAACACCTAAATCCATAAGTAACCAATACAACAGCATAATTTTTGCTATAGTGTCTGATAAAGTTCTATGCCATACTTCAACACTTGAATGTGCCACAACTATCTACATTTTGCTTTTCCAAGATATCAAAGAACCACCTAAAAAAACACAATAACCAGTTATAGAATGTCTATCATTAACATCACCAACCCAATCAGAATAAAAAAAAAAAGCATGAAGTTCAAGTTTAAAAGTTGATGAGAATAGCGAACCTTTATGTAGCATTCCTCGCAAATATCTCAATATCCTAAGAACTGCAGCAAAGTAAATTGTCCGAGGTGCTACCATAAATTGGCTTACAACTTGAATTGCATGACTAATATCAGATCTTGTAATTGTCAAATATATAAGACTACCAACCAACTGTCTATGCAAAATAGCATCATTGAGAAGTTCTCCATCAATAGCTTTTATTTTGACATTAGTTTCAAAAGATGTGTCAAAAATTTTATTATCAGATAAGCCAGCTTTAGAAATAAGATCAAAAGCATATTTCACCTGAGACAAGACATATCCATAAAAGGAACAATCAACTTCAATTCCTAAAAAGTATCGTAATGGACCAAGATCTTTCATCTCAAACATTTTGCTAAAATGATTTTTTATATTCTAAATACCAAGATGAGAGGTCCTTCATCTCAAAGGTTTTGCTAAGATAATTTTTTATATTCTAAATATCAAGGTTATCATCTCTAGTTATCACCATATCATCAACATAAGCAAAAATACAATACGTTTTTCAGATCAACGAATAAACAATGTTGAATCATATGGACTCTGCACAAATCTAAAGTCAAGCATAATAGTGCTGAATTTCTCAAACCAAGCATGCAGTGCTTGTTTAAAATGATATAAAGCTCGTCAAAGCTTGCACACTTGATTAGTTTGGCAAGATAATCTAGGAGAAGGCTTCATATAAACGTTTTCACGAAGATCTCCATTCAAGAAAGCATTTTTTAATTCCATTTGTGATCAAGCCCATCCTCAAATAGAAACAATAGCTATAAGAGTTCTAACAGAAGTCATTCGAGCTACAAGAGCAAAGGTTTCTTCATAGTCAATGCCATACTCCTATGTAAATCTTTTTACAACCAACTTGGCTTTATATCTCTTAATAGACCCATTTGATTTAGTCTTTACCTTGTACACCCACTTACAATCTATTATAGATTTTACAAGAGGTAAATCATCAAGATCCCAAGTATGAGTTTTCTCTAAGGCATCTAATTTTTCTTTCATAACTGCTTGCCAAAAAGGATTAGAACTTGTTTCATGATAAGATTTAGGTTCATAAACAAAAAAAATAGTAGATAAAAAACAATGAAAATCATGATAACGTTTAAAAGGAATTCGCTCACATGTTGAACATCTAAGTTTTGGGACAGACAGCTCTAATGAATTAGACAATGGTGGTGAAGTATTACTTATGATAGAGTCAGTGATGGGACAAGCTTCATTTGGATGAATCTGCTGAAGAGTTGGAGAACTTTGAGACATATGAGAAGATTGATTAAAGTAATTTAAATCAACAAAATTATCAAAAAAAAAAAAAAAAGACAAGACTCATGAAGATCATTGGTAGATTTTTGAAAATGAGGCAATGAATACATTGGAATAATTTCCCAAAAAGTAACATGCTGAGAAACACGAAGTTTTTTTGCAATAAGACCATAGCAATGATATCATTTTTGTCCAATACCATAACCTAAAAATACACAAATTGTAGTTTTTCAAGATTATTTATTACATTGAACTTTGGAAAGTGAAACAAACCATGTAAAACAAAAAACACAAAGCTCAAAATAATTGAGTATTGTTATACAAATGTTCAATAGGAGAAATTTCACCAATGACAGAAAAAGGAATATGATTAATAACATTAACTGAAGTAAGTGCAGCTTCCCCCCAAAATTTCTTAGAAACCAATGAAGATAACAACAAGACTAGTGGTTTCCATGATATGATGATGTTTTCTTTCAACAACACCATTTTGCTGTGGTGTATTAGTATAAGATGATTCAAGAATAGTACCTTAAGAAGCAACAAACTCTTTTAAATTACTTGATTGATATTCCCTAGTAGAATTAGCACAAAAACATTTAATTGTTTTAGAAAACTGTGTTTTGATCATAGCATAAAAATCTTGATAAATTTTAAACAAATTTGAATAATACCGAAACAAATAAATCCAAGTGTACCTCAAATAATCATCAATAAAAATAACATAATAACAAGAACCCCTCATAGTAGGTAAACGAGATGGGCACCACACATCAGAATGAACAAGATCAAAAGAAAAAAAAAACTTGACTCACTTTTATTGAAAGGTAAAACAGACTGTTTTGGTAGTTTGCAGCTGATACAATTATTGGATATTTATGACTTAACATAACCTAACTTGCCACTAACTACAAGAAACATGTCCTAACCTGCGATGCCAGAGGGAAAAATAATAAAATATATATTAGTTGGAGCAATATGCTTTTAAAATTATTTGGATGTAGTAAACTGGGGCAGTTTTAAGTGCAACTCCATTGATTAACCCACATATAGAACTCGCTAACCTTCTATTAAACTTAGATTTAAATAAATTTAACTGGAGAAGGTTTGTTTTGAAAATTATTTGGTCAACAAACTGATCGTCTTGTTTGGTTATTGGCCTTAAATGTTATTGATGAACCAACAAACAATAACGGGTTAAGATATGAAGATGAATTTTTTCTATCAGAAATGAAGTTTTTGTGTTTGAACTTGTTTTTCATTAATCACAATGTACGAATATGTACAAAGTACAAGAGATATGAAGTTAGCTTATCTCATTTAATATTTTTGAATTTAAACTATAGTTATCTACATTTTAAACTAACTTAAATTTACAACATAAGCCAAGCTTTGACTTAACCTGCTGCTGCTTACTGACTTGGTCGTGGTGGTTGCTGTTGGCTGCTGTTGATTGTGTTCCACCAAGCGCTCTAAAGGAGTAGATAAAATGCTTTAATCTTATATTAGATAAAAAAATAATAATAATCATTGGCATATAAGTATTGATGCTGCACACACTAAGTTGGTTTTGCAAGAAGAGAGTAATGACGAGGTGAAACTTTAAGTTGCTGTTGCTTCCTGTGAGCTGTTTGTTATTTTCTTCTCTTATTATATCATAGTAGTCTCGGCAAGTAATTTAATTAATTTTCTTATTTTTATTCATTAACTGCTTCCAAGCACATATATGTGTATATATATACATACATATATATATATATATATATATATAAACTGACTCATGTTTCTAACGTAATCACAGATATTTGTTGGCTTACGCTTTGCCACAAACATATTTGGTTTATCTGTCATTATCAGAAAAGCATCTAGAATTAATGCACAAAGCTTTAGGCATCTCATTTTTTTTCATTTAACTAGTTTCTTCGATTCCATAAACCAAGTTGTTTTGGCAATTTGAATGTTTGTATTAATCATAACGATTGCCCGAGCAAGAGATCAGAAATATAGAGTTGGATAGAATTTGGAATTGGAATTGAGACTTCAAATTACATTTTTTTTATCTTGGTATATAAGCATACAATAACCATAAATTGATGCAAGAACACGTGACGATATAAAATCATAAAAACAAATTAAATATATATTCTAGAGACCATAAGCAAATCCTCTACCCTTAGGCGGGGCTATGAGTCGGAGTAATCATAGGGCATGCGAGAAACCAACGGATGACTTCCTGTAGCAATATGCTTTCTCTTATGACTTCAACAATAACCACATACATCAATCTTAGGTAAAGGAAATGATAGTGAAACTTCATAAAGAACTGCTTCTGAATTATTAAATAATTAGGCTTCCTTTAACCAAGTAGAAATAGTAATACACATAGTAAGGAGGAGGTGGTGATTTATTGTCCAAAGGAGAGGGAGGAGGTGGAGAAGAAAATGGTGGAGTAGTTTAAGGAGAAAGATGTGATGGTAATGGTGGTGGTGGTGGTGGAAACTTGTGGATATAAGGGGCCTTTAGTCGAGGAGATAGAGTGGAGGTTACTTGTAATATGGGGGAGGTGGTGGTGACTTGTAAACATATGGCGGAGGTGGAGGAGACTTGTATATGTATGGAGGAGGTGGTGGTGACTTATAAACATATGGAGGAGGTGGAGGTGACTTGTAGACATATGGAGGAGGTGGTGGTGACTTGTACATATATGGAGGGGGTGGTGGTGACTTGTACATATATGGAGGGGGTGGTGGTGACTTGTACATATATGGAGGGGGTGGTGGTGACTTGTATACATACGGAGGTGGTGGTGGTGATTTATAAAATGTATGGAGAAGGTGGAGGTGATTTGTACACATATGGAGGGAGGTGGAGTGACTTGTACACATATGGAGGAGGTGGTGGTGATTTATAAATATATGGAGGTGGAGGTGACATGTATATGTAAGGAGGAGGTAGTGGTGGCTTATAAACATATGGAGGAGGTGGAGGTGACTTGTAGACATATGGAGGAGGTGGTGGTGACTTGTACATATATGGAGGGGGTGGTGGTGACTTGTATACATACGGAGGTGGTGGTGGTGATTTATAAATGTATGGAGAAGGTGGAGGTGATTTGTACACATATGGAGGAGGTGGAGGTGACTTGTACACATATGGAGGAGGTGGTGGTGATTTATAAATATATGGAGGTGGAGGTGACTTGTATATGTAAGGAGGAGGTAGTGGTGGCTTATAAACATATGGAGGAGGTGGAGGTGACTTGTACACGTACGGAGGTGGTGGAGGTGACTTGTATACGTATGGAGGTGGTACATAGGAAGGCTCATAGTCGGCAGCTACATTGTTGATTATCAAGCACAATGCCAAGGCATAGGCTAGGTATGGCCAAACCTTGGCCATTTTGGGCAGAAGATGGCACCAAAACTCCCACTACTTTGCACTTCAACGCTAGACAAGTCAATGACTATTTCTATTCCTATTTTGTGAACTACAATGGTCGCCTTGCGGTTTATATAGTAAGCTCTCCAATATCCGAAAGAATTTTAAAATGGTCTATACGCGAAACCTCCAATAATTTACCTCCACATGCTCTCAACGTTATATTATTTGTTGAGGATGTGACACCCCACTTGCTCCTGCTACACCTTTGTGTGTGAACCTTGAAGCAGTCAGAGAGAAAATCGTACCCATTCTCTAGAAATTTATGTGATTTTAAATTCCATGGCACTTTTAAATTTTAATTTTGGTTCTCACAAGATCGGCCACTACATGCCCTAACAAATTATATGCATTTATTTATATATGATCATATGGCATTACAAAATTAAACCTACAAACCACAAATTAAACCATAGTTTGCAATATTCAGCTCTCGACGATTCATCGCAGTCCATTTTTATTTTATCAGTTAAAGCAAATTTTTCCAGTATATTGTTACGAGATAGATCAAGACGTCTCCCCATTTTAATATTTTGGACTGTGTAATCTGAAATAAGTATAACCCTACACACTTTTTTCATATAAATATTTTCTTTTCTTTTATTTCAAAATTAAAATTTAATATATCTAAATTGTAACTGTCACTATATTTACCAAATAGAATAGGAACCTGTCATTTTTGTTTTGAAATTGGCCTAAACCTAATCATATTTTTATTTTTTGAAACCAATTATCATATTTAATTTGTAATAATGACTGATGATTAGTTGAACAAATTTGTTAATTATACGAGAGTGCACTTGTTATCTCAATCATCTTCAAAAGATGTTTAATTCAATTATTTATGTCGTCATATTTAAAAAATAACATTCAACAAATTTATATTTTTAAATTACGATTTTTTATTTAAGAAAAAAAAAAACAAAGAGAGACTCATGTTCTTATTGTCTCATTGAAGGAATTTGAATTTAATAAAATTCCATACAGCTGTACTTATATACCTAAACAAAATTGAATATTTATTTCATTAAATATGTTAAGGCACATATCATTGTGGAAAAAAATAAAATCAAGTTAAAAATAATTAATTTGTGGAGAGTTAACTCCTCCCCTAGAATTCGCCAAAATTATTGACGTATATGAATTATAAATAAAAAATTGTCAAATTATGTTCCTACTTCAGAGTGTAAATTAAGAAAACACTTCTATAGAGTTGAAGCAGCTGCATCCAGCTGCAGGTTGACTTAATTGGCTAACAAAATCATTTTAAAGAATAGGGTAAAATACAGGGATAGTCGTCTAACATTGGATGAGTTTTTATTGTGATCATCGAGCTATGAAATTTAATGATTTAATCACTAATATTTGTATAAGTGTTATGTTTGGTCACCAACCATAATTAGTTTTTAATGAAATGCTGATTGTCACTCATGATGCCAATGGTTAGACTTGTACCTAAGTCGAGTTGGGTCAAATTCAAGTTGAGCTTTGACAGGATACCAATAACCTTTAGATTTGCCTAAGCTCGGTTTGACCTAAAATATGTATAGACCTCATTTATTATCCAAGTTTGCCTAAGATCGCTCAAATTTTAATTTTTTAAATAAAAAATAAATTTTATAATAAATATTAATTATAAAAAATAAATAATCAACAAAATAAAACCTAAAAAATGACATGGATATTAATTTGTTTGGATCAGTTTGGTAAATGTAAACATAAGTATTAATGTGTACACTTATACTAGTTAATTATCTATTTATTTTTATTTAATATAATTATAAATATAAAATAAATATATATAAGTTATTCGAGACAAGCAGAATATGAACCTTAAATGTTATACTCAAGGTTCTGTCCATTTTCTAATCGAATCTTAAATTTAAATCTAAACTCATTTAACTAACTTAATAATTATGTTCAAATCTTTTAAAATTTTAAACAAACTTTTAAAATTTAGACGAATAACTCATCCTTTATATAGGTCTATCAATAATTATATGGTATGTCTACATCATAAAAAATAGTTATATAAATGGTACGTAACCAAATAATTATACAAATGCTTGTGATTAAAACATAAAATTTAATAATTGGATGATCTTTGCCAAATGTCTCTTAAAATTGAATGATTATCCGTATATTTTACCCTAAAGAATATTTAGTATTTATATCAATTTTTATCTGACTAGAAAAAAAAAAGGAGACTTTCTCATTTTGCTACGAATTATAAATATCATTTTAGGACAAATGGCCACAGGATTCATCTAATAGCTAATAAGATATCTGTACAAACTTTCAAACAATCTTGTGTTTATTGGTTAATTTCAGCAATATAATTAATGAGATATTGATTATTTAGTAACAATCCATACTTGATTTAACGTTTATTCTTTTTTTATAGGTTTAAAGATCAAATTCTTTCTCTTACTTTGACTTCATAATATATATAAAAATATATGTATAAGTTAGGAAGTACCTTCTGCTACCATCATTCAAATAGAATTAGTGATCGCATGAATTGGTCTAGTATGAAATCAAATAAATTATTTACAATATTTTGTCTTAGCCAATGCGTTCAAGAGCTGTATAGAAACGATAATTTATAAAAATATACATTTTTTAAATTGATTTTACAAATATTTCAATTCATACCCATCAAAGTTAATTTAAAAACCCTCTTATCAATTAGGTTGATTACAAGTTACACTTATTTTTTTTTTTAAAATACCACACGTACCTTTTTCAAAGCAAAAAAGATATATCTAATATCCTTCTCGGATGTCTTTTTTTCTTGTTTTAAACTGAAAATCAATGAAAAATCATAATGATTCGGATTTAATCGATTTTTTATTAAGTTTTGTTCAAAGTTTAGATATCAAATTTTATTTTTTTAGGTTCAAATCGAATTTTTGAATCGAGAAATGAAAAAATCAAAAATATCGTAATTGAATTAAATTATATTTTTTTTTGAATTTTTTATAAAATAAAATAATTATTTTATTTATTTAAATCTATGTAAATATATTAAAATTTATATTAAAATATAAAAAAAAATTAAAAACTTATAAATTGAATCAAACAGATAAAATTTAATTCAAATCAAAACAATTTTAAAAAAATCAATTCAAATTCAAATCAAATTTTAAATAAATTTTATAATTAATATTCAATTAATATTATTTGTTATACATATTTTATTTATAAATTACCCAACGCGAAGCAAGGTACCAATTTCTAGTATATACTGAAAAAGAAATTCTAAGCGGCATAAATGGTTAAAAGGAAAGTTGCTTTTTGCGTTTTAACCGCAATCACTATCATTATAAAAAGAAATACTAATGGGCATTGACATCCTCCTATCTTTCTTAGAGTTATAGGCACAGCCGGTGTTGCGATCACAAAGCCTCTTTTAAGTTAGTTTATTTTTTTATTTTTTTTTCAAAAATAATTTTTTTTAAAATTTCAAGATAGAAACATGACCTATAATAATGTTTGGTATATAAAATAATAGATAGAATATTATGATAATCTTTTTATATCATATTTAATTTGTATATAATTGAAAGAGATAAGATTATAAGAAAGATTATATTCTCTTAGTATAAATAATTCAATCCTCTTAAAGTGTGAAGGATTATTTTTAATCAATAGAATTAAAGTTACATATTTTATTATCTTTTAAAAATTACATCAATAATTTAAATTATACATACTTTAAGAAAAGATAATTTTTATCAATAAATAAATTATTCTATTTTAATCTCTACATACATCAAACATAAAATAAAATGACATTATTTAATTTAATCTTATTCATAATATTATCTTATCCTATTCTATTATAATCTTATATACCAAACATGACTTAGGTCATGTTTATTATCATTTTATCATATTCATCATCTTATGCACTAAATATAACTTAAATGTCTTCTATTAAATTAAATAACTAATACATTATTTAATTTTATATTAATGACGGAGTCATTAATATAAAAATCAGACATACTAATTACAAATTTTAAGTTTACAAAATTAACTTGTTTCTTGAAATTGTATTGATATACATATAATTTAAGTGTATTATACATATCTTCTTAATAAAATGTACACATAATTGATCTTAATTATATGGTTTTTTTTTTTTTAGAGGTCATGAGGTGTAAAAATCTTTTAATTTAAAATATAAAGCTCATGTCTTCAATATCTTTCATCGTTTGAACTTTTCAAAAATTTGTAATTCAATTCAATGATGTACTTATAATCAAGATAATTGTATGAAAAAAAGAGTTCATTTTACATATGTTTTTCATTGAATGTA